TTTTTTTTTTAACATTATTGCATGTTTATATGCAATTGACAAGTGCATGGGGCATTTTATCAAGCAAATGGAGGAAGTGAAAGTAAAGGAAAAGGACGAGGACGAGGACGTGGAACAATTGGAGGAATCGGAAGAAATGGAGGACGAAGAATTGGAAGTGGAAGAAGTGGAGAGATTGGAAGTCCAGATTGTGGCAATATTGTGATTACTCTAAAAATTATAGCGACTACAGTTGTGACGGCGTCAGTTGGAAGCTGAAACATATGGAAAGAGAAAAAGAAATTGCAAGTAAAATTGTAGGCGTTTTCATTGCTGTTCATGATTCATAAGCATTTTCAGATTAATTTTACGAATATCTTCGCACAGTTGTGACCATTTTTAATAGAATGAAATATTACAAAGAAATTTCATTACAAAGCTTTATACTTTAAGAAATTAATTATTGGATGTCTATATATTTCACTTAAATGGAAATGGCCTTTTCGTAAGACGTGCAAACATCTTCTCTGAAGTTAGTTAATTTGTCACAAAATATTCGCAAACAACTTGCGGGCACTAAATAATAAGCACATGACTTCATTCGGGAAACATCATTCTCGTTTGTTAAGTAATTAGTCTATCGTAATCAATAACGATAGAAAGAAATTTTAATAGAATTATGCAAATGTCACTTACGCCTGTTGCGTTTGAACCACTGTTTATGATGTCACCAAGTATCGGTAAATGTAATATCTCTCTTATTATATTCTGAATTTCTGGAGAAGTATTATTTGTAGAATTTGAAATAAAATTCTCAAGAGCTTCGACTAGTTGGTCAAACGACACGTTTGTAAGTTGGTTTCTTAAAGGTTCGATAATGTTCGATATATTGTTTGTAGCATCCGCGGGTACAGCTCTTTTTGAGAGAATCGGTAGACTCTCTGATTCATCCTTGATTTCGTTATCCAAGAAATTTGATGCCTGCCTCGCAAATTCTGTCAGAACATCCCTTTTCTCTGCAACAATTCGTTTAATAGAATCGTATAATTATTCTGTTCAAATATTATCGTTTATCTAGACCGATTTCTAGTAACAATATTTAGTATTACAACGGGGAGAGAGGGACCGACAAATTTTTGATTTTGAAATTCAAGGTCAAGATCAATTTTGCAGCAGGTTCTTTCCACCCTGTACACGCATTCTCTGTACATTTACACACAGACATCCGTGGTCTAACGATAGACCAATGAAACGAAACTGATATTTGTTATAAAAAAGATTGAGAAACATTGAGATCATTATCGTTTGGACAACTGATTGTAAAGAAATTAAGAAAAATATTGACACTTGATTAAGTCGAACGTTTAACAACGTTCACGAACAATAATATTTCTCAGAATTCACTCAATGAACACGCAAGTTTAGAATAAACGTTCTAATACTTATGGGTGATAGTGTGTTATTACATTGAACAGTATAATTACCACGATGTTTCAATTCATTTTCCGGGGATACCTCGCTCTGAAAAATTAATATACATTATGATAATAGTAGTTTCTTGAACGTCGTTTAAAAAATAATTTGAAGTAGTGGTATATGTACGTAATTCAAGCGAAAACTTACCAGTTCACGAGGGATTGCTCTGACCAGTGCTCCAATCGAAAGAAAGAAAAATACAAACGCAGTTAATTTCATATTGGCAACGTTCTTACTTCGAACGTATTTGCGGCGGGAATACAAATACTACTGGAAAGTGTTTGTTTCGTCCACATTTATATGCCGGTTGCCGATCGGCTTATCTCAAATTGACCATTAAAATAATAAATACTAAATATAACAACTGTAATTATTCAAACATTAGGGCATTTAAAATTCGTCCCTGAATTGTTGCTAATTATCGCCAATGCTACTGCTATTGCGTTCTCTGAGTTTTCAATGTGCTGATAAACCGAATTGCAGTTTACGTAACGTGAAACGAAAAATTTTATAAAAATATAACGTACGCGAACGCAAGAAATATGGGTCACATTGTAGTGACACTACATTTGCAATTTAAAAAGAAAAAAAAAAAAAGGAGAACGATCGTTCAGATATCACATTTAGAGCGTCAAACTTAATCGGCAAGTTTAAGTGAATTTGTCAATGGAAATAATTAAATAATAATTGGAATTTGAAATGATAGTAGAATATAAAGAAGAGTGTCAGGCTTATAATATTTTATTAAGTATCGGAAATTCAAACACAATGAGGTTACATATTTTTTTTATTTTTTTTATTTTTTTTTTAATGGGTTCAATTATTTTCATTATCGCTGTGTTATATACGTAGACAAAAAATAGACTATGCATTATGTCACTGATCAACCGTAATTGTTATTCAACAGTCGGTTAACAGCGTTCAGTGTTGACCTTGGTATCTGTGAAAAAGAAATGACTAAGTGAGTAAGTGGAAGAAGTTGCGTTGAGAAGAATTTCTTCGCGAGTGTTTCAACACTTTGATTCATCTGAATTGTGTACATTAATTTATATAAATAATAAATAATTGATATCCCGTGATGGAATTACATTACAGTGAAGAGCGTAATTGTATCAGCAATGACACGATAGTTCAAATTGCTTTTAAAACGTGAAGCTTCTACTTTGACAGTCGTCTACCTGAATTCGTTCTCCTCAACGATGATTTTACATGTTGCAGCTGGTACGAAAGCGAGGATATTGTTTTATCGAAAATTCAAACGTCTATAAAAATATTAAAAATTTTTCTTTTGTAACTAGATTCACTATGATCTTGAAGATTGAAGTCTTCTCTTTACAACGAATCCTTGAAAAATTGCCAGTTACAAATTTCTTTTTTTTTTTTTCAAATTTTATTGAACTTTGAATGTTAGGATTAAACGATAATAATCTAAGAGAAGAATTGTACAATAGATTTTAAAAAGAAAATTTCAGTCCTCAAAACCACAGTAGTGAAGAAAAAAATTTTTTTAACGTTTCTACGCGTTACTTGAATTTTTGCAATTTCTGAGGAAAAAGTATCCTCGGACATTATCTTTGAGAGAAATAAATTCAAGGCTTTACGCTTTTACAATAAGACTAATAATACCATTCTCTTTTACAAAGTTACATTTTTATGCATAGCAGTAACGTATCTCACTACTTGTTACATAAATTTGTTATTTAAATATCACTATCTGCATCGTATGTTGGCTTTTGAAAATCAATTTATCGACGTGATTAGCATTCGTCTTATCAGGCGTAGGCTACTATTCGGCATCGAATTCCTTTACCTCGAATACGTCGTCGAAGAAACCTCTATCGGCTTTCACGGCTACTGGAGGTCTTCGAGGCTTAGGATCTGAATAAGAAATCGTCTGACGTTTGTGGACTTTTTGAATGTGAGTGTCGGCGACATCCTGCGGCTCTATCGCAGCCGCGTGTTCAACAACAACCTGTTTCCTCGGTCCCCACAATCTCTTCCTGAGCGTGCGCAAGAGTCTCGCTCGGCGATGATTGCCTAGAAATGCGTGAATATCAAACGTATGAAACGCAAATGAGTGCAAGAAACGTCACAAAAAGATTAGCCAATTAACCGAGAGTATTATCTCACCGATCTGTGCGATTTCTTTTACGTCGTTGGACAAAATAGGAGCTAGCTCGACAACAGGCAGCGGTTCAACACCTGGGACTTCGTGTGTCTGACGCACATTACAAATCATTTAATTTCGATTTGAGATCAACGATCATCGAATTGACGGGATTAATTCGACTATGTATGTGTGGTTTCTTTTTTTTTTTTTTTTTTTTTTACCTCCTTATTCGGCGAAGAGTCGAGTTG